CGGTTACTCAACAGTTCACTTGGCAGAAGGTTTGGAAAGAGCTGAGTAGACAGTAATGGAAATATTAATAGAGCCTGAAGGAGCTACAAAAGTTCACTTCTACCAGAAAAAAGAGATAATGACAAAAGAAAGAAAAAGTAAATCTCTTTGGGCTGAGGCAAGGAAAGAATTAAACTACAAGGAAAACACCATCAGAACAAGGAGCTTTTTATCTCTTCTGTATCTATAGAAAGAAAATAGGATTAATCAATCCAATGGCATTTCTTAAGTGCAAAAACTTCAAGCCATACATACTGCCTATATCTCATATCAGAAAATGTTAGATCTAGAAGACACTTCACAAGTAATCTAATTGAATGCCTAAATTTTACAGATGAAAATAGAGTCTAAAAAGAGAAATTAATTTGCCCCCAAATAACATAGCTCAAGAAGTAGCAGAGCTGGGACCAACCCCCAGGTCTCAAGACTCCTTTTCCAAAGTTCCTTCTACAACCTCATGCTGCCTTCTTTCACTGAAGTCATTTCCAAAGACTATGCTGAGGCAAACTAATGTGCTGGGAGTTTTGCTAGGTGTGCTATGGAATTTTGGACATTATGCCATTGCAAATAAAAGAAAATTTATCAATAATTTTGTTTCACATGGATTTTGCTAGTTCAGCCTACATCGTACAGTAACTATAGTTATTCATTCTATAGTAAATATAGTATTCATTCTAAAAAACTCACCTATTACATATATGCACTAACACAAGAACACATGAGGCTCTGTAGCTGCAAAGGACTTTAAATAAAAACAGTTGGTCTTAATGAAAGGAAACTGAGTATATGTGAGTCTCCAAATTCTGCTGCAGAGTTGCCAACCTAAATTGTTCATGACAAAGAATTCTATGCCAGGAGGGGGGGAGAAAAGAGAAGTCTGAGAACCTTTGCTTTACAGAATAACCATGCCTGTGCCAAATGCCCAAATTTTAACCATGAAAATGACTTATCAGTCACCCTCTACATTCTATAGTACCACTGCCGTCTTCAGGAATCCACAGAAAAATGGATATCAAAATCAAGCAATCAAATCTTCAGGTGTCTGTCTGTGTTTAGGAGGATTTTTCTAAAAGGTTAGAAAGGTCGTTATCAATATATTTGAAAGAGATCTTCCCAGAGCTTATGTGTACTCATGTGGGCAATTTTGAGCTTAAAGTGATGTTTTTTTGGAAGAAGCTACCAAAAGGTTGCTTATTATTTTTTCTTGGCTCTATTCTTTCTCATCATCATTCAATTTAATACGCACTTACTCTGCACCTGCTACCTGCCCAAGCACCATGGGGGATACAAAAGAAGTAGAAGAAATAGTTCTTGACCTCAAGGGGCTTACAGTCTAGTTAAGAAACTGATGCAGACATGAAACCAAAAGAGTATAATTCTATGACAGTACATTAAAGTAGATACAACTTAGTGTGGTATATCTCAAGCATATGTAAGGGCTCAGAACTAGCAATGTAATATAGAAGAAAATGGCAGGAATCTATTAAGAGACCATGTTTCTAGTCCCAGCTCTGCCACAAAAGAGATGTGTTCTTCCTGGGAAAGTCACTTTATTATCTCTGGCCCACAGTGTCCACATCTTTAAAACAAAGGCTCTGGTTTAAATTATTTTTAAATCCCTTCCAACTCTAAAAAACCTCTATTAATTCTATGAGTCAATTATCCTTAGTAATAGAAAGAAGTAGTTGGATTTGGCAAGAAAGTCTTCATGAAAGCAGTGAATTTGTGTAAAGGACTATGAATTATAAGAAGTGTACTATCAAACTGAGGAGTAAGGTCTTTTTGGGTGGAGGGCAAAAGCATGATAAAGGTACATAAATAGTAATGAAAATGGTATTTGTAGTCAATGGGAAGGTGACTGAAGCAAGGGCAGTGTAGTAGAAAATAAGGAAGAACTGGTAAAGTAGGGCACCAATTGTAGGAAAACCCTCAGCCTAGGCTAAGGAATTCCAATTTGGGGAAACTAGGGAGCTATTGGTTGTTCTTACAGAAGGGAATCAATATCCTTATACTCTAAAAAAGAAAACTATGGAGAATATAAGGAAAAAGACAGATACCATTAAATATTTCTACGCACCACAGCTTGGAAAATACAGATAATGCACTTCTTTAGTCACTTCATCTACCAAACAGATAACTCAAAATAAGAACAGACTCATGCTGCCTTAGGGTTTGTCTACTTCTATATGGGGAGTGAGGGGTGAAAGGGGATCCAATAGGACAGCTGTTCTAGTAACAGCACACCATGCAACCAATCAAAATCCAGCTAAGCAGTATAATTTCAGTGCTCCAAAACTGAATAGTAACATCACTAAGAGACCATTTAACTCAAATAGTCAAAGGCTATTAAGTGAGCACAGGATTCCAATGATGAGCAGGTTTGATCAATTAAGCACCAGAGTTTTCCAGGGCAACAATGTTCCAAGCTCAGATAGATAAACTTGACTCTCAGCAGCCCAGAATTTAACACCAGGCTCCAAGTGTGTGGGCCAATATTAAGCTAAACTCCTCCTCTTTAAATCGACCCCTTTGAGTCCCTATGGAAACAGGGAAATCTCAAAGGCTTGTGGGTCATTGTTGACCCATCTTTTCCTCACCCCATTCCCTAAAAAATAAATAGTAAATGACAGGTGAGGAGGGTTTACATAACAGTAGATTCTCTGGAATAATAATAATAATCATAGCTAACCTTTACACAGAGCTTACTATGTGGGAAGCAGCATGCTAGGCGCTTTACAATTACCATCTCATTTGAGATAATAAGGATAAGGAAAGAAAAGCCAAGGAAGAGTATAAGCCAGCCTAGGAGGAAGCAGCACTGAAAGCAATAAACACCATTCCTCTCCTGAACTGCTCCACGACAGGCAGTTTGGAAGGACAAGTCTCCTCCCATAGTCTCCTGCCTGTCTAACCAGGCCACCTCAGTCACCTTTACTGGATTCCACCACAGAAAATATCACTCATATTTCACCCCCTAACAAGTTCTGCCTTAACCTTCCCAGACTTATCCTGCATTGCTCTTCTTCACGCACCCTCCACTGCTGTCAAATTGGTGTTCCTGACTCACCTCCTGCAGGCCGCCCCCTCGCCTGTGTCCATGCTCTCACACTGTCTGTCCCCTGCACAGCAGGTCCTCCTAACCTCTCCCTCTCAGCAGGCCTCACTGCCTTCAGGGCTCAGTGTAACCACACCTTTCATGAAGTCATTTGTGATTCCCCACTTGACCCTACTAGTAAATTATCTTGTTTATCTTGTCCATATCTTGTTTACTTTTCACAGGATCACAGATTCAGAGCTGGAAGGGGCCTCAGCAGTCACTTATCCCATCCCCTCATTTTACAGATGAGGAAACTAAGACCTGGGGAAGTTAAATGACTTGCTCAAAGTCACACAGAGAGTAAATGTCAGAGATGGAATGAGTCCAGGTCTGCTGACATCACAGCCAGGGTACTTACCACTGTACCATGATGCCTACTGTTGTCTCTCCAACAAAATGTAAGCTCCTGGAGGGCAGAGGCTGTGTCTCATTTTGTCATTGTATCCCCTAGCATCTTGCATATTAGAAGTACTTAATAAATGCTAGGTGGTGCAGTGTATAGAGTGCTAGACATAGAATCAGGAAGATCTGAGTTCAAATCTGACCTTAGGCACTTACTAGCTCTGATGGCGGGCAAGTCATTTAACTCCCCCGTTTGCTTCAGTTTCCTCATCTACCTCCCAGGGTTTTGGTAAGAATCCAATGAGATAATAATTATAAGACACTTACAGAGAGCCTGGCACATAATAAGCACTATATAAATGTTGTTTAGTCATCTTCAGTCATGTCCAACTTTTCGTAACTTTCTTTGTGGGATTGGAGTGGTTTGTCATTTGTCATTTCCTTCTCTAGTTCATTTTACAGATGAGGAAACTGAAGCAGAGTGAAGTGACTTGCCCAGGGTCACACAGCTAACAAGTGTCTGAGGCCAGATCTGAGCTCAGGAAGATGAGTCTTCCTGACTCCAGGCCCAGGACTCTTATCTATTGTACCACCTAGCTGCTGATTGATGTAACTTCTGCTTTGCTTCCAGTTTTCTGCAGCCCCTATTAGAATAGTATACTATCTATTAGTAATGCAGTTGCCATGCGGCTGAATTTGAGTCAGATTTTCTTTATGGAAAAGAAAAAAGGCACACACAATGGAATGGATGACTGAAGATCACTTCTGTTTGGTTTTGAAGCACAATCAAGGACACATGCTTAAACAAACCATTCAGACACAAACAGCTCATCATCCTCATTTAGCCCTGCCTAAAATCAGAAGCCCTGAACCTGGCTGAACAGGCTGGAGGTAGCTCCAGAATCAGAGGTTCCCAAACCCATTTGGCCTACCAACCCCTTTTCAAAAAAAAAAAATTACTCAGCGCCCCCCTGGAAATCTACTTTCTTAATCTTTTCACTTTTAAAAAAACTACTATCACCTCTCCCCCTCTCCCCCCCCCGCCCCCAACTGTTTCAGTGCCCCTCAAGGGGCAGTATCGCCCACTTTGGGAACCTATGCTCCAGATAATCCACAAAGCATAAAATTGAAATGTGACAATTTGTTTCCTAAATCAAAGGACTTTGACAGCCTCTGGCTATTAAAAACAAAACAAAACATTTATTCTCAAGCATCCAAAGAGAAGCAGTCCAATTAGTCCCAATCAATCCAGATTTAACATCTCATGCTCTTTAAGCCATTCTGTTTAGAACAATTTTATTTTCTACCTATGGTAAAAGTTCAAAAGATTCTCTTTCCAATTTGCCTTAGAGAAAAATTCTGATAATTTCCTCTTAGGACAGCCTATGCTCTTAATTTTCAAGTCATGCTGGAATCATGCATAGTGATTATTCACTATTTTACTCACTGGAAGATAGCTGATACTGAAATACTATAAGCCCTATAACCATGGTTCTTCAAAAAAAAAAAGCTGGAGACACACCTGAGAAACTCCTGTTTCTAAAGGGTCTGAGGATATCTGGAAAAGAGAGAGAAGGGGAATTATTCATTATTAATTAAATTTTTTAAATGTTAATGTATTATTATATTAACATAAGATTAGTGAATGGGCACAGGGAGTGGGGATGTATTTCTCTATCAAAATTAAACTGAATTTGAACACGACTAATGCCAATAAACTGAAGAGGTGCGGTGGAAGCAAACCAAGATTAAGGGACTAAATCTGGGATGTCATGGCTGTAAGGGGCTCCTCTCCTGGTAAGGAATTGCATTTATCAAAGTAGATCAGATCAGTACAGAGTTTTAGATAGTTGCTTTTAGTCAGAGTTTAGACAGTTTCACTGACTTGCCCAGGGTCATACAGCCAGTATAAGTCAGAGGAAACACATGACCCCAAGTCTTCCTGGCTCCAGGGGAAGATCAGAGCTCTCTAGTACATCATGCTTCCTCTATAAATCTAGGTCAATATCCAATTTTTGACCTTTCTCCCCGCCCCTCCCCCCAAGTTGCTATTCTAGTTCACCGAAAAAGCTAATCTCCTGGCTTATTTCTCACCTTTGTTAACATTAAGTTTTCAAAAAAGAAACCATAGGCAACTTCACTGTTCACATTAGACTGGTTCATGACAAGGCTCTCCAGGAGGGTGTGGCTTTTTCCCTGGGAGGTGACACCAATGTTTCATCAGATAACTTAAAGTTACCTATAACTATGGCAGGATAACTTCACCAGTGTTTTGGATGTAACAGTAACGACGGGTCCATTGGTGAAAACTGATTGACACTGAATGTCATACATGGTTTTATAGGATCTAAAGCTAGAAGGGACCATATGGATCATTTTACCTTGACCCTGAAATTTACAGAGGAGGAATCCAAGGCCCAAGGTAATTAAAATCATTTGCCCAACATCAGCTCTGGGAGAAAGAAGCAAAGCTAGGATCTGTAGGTGGGTTTTCTGACTCCAAATCCAGGCCTCTTTTCACTACCACACCCTCCCTCAACTTCTACTTTGGATTTTGAAAAAAACAATTTAACAGATTTACCATGTACGAGAGATTGTGTTAAATGCCAAGGGGACTACAAAAGGTCTGAACACAAGTGAAGCAGCCTGCTTTAGTGCAGACAGCACTGGATTTGGAGTCAGAGGACTTGGCTTCCAAATCTCTTATAGCAAGGACTATCTTTTGTCATTTTCCACAAGTCACTTCTGTGGGCCTCAATTTCCACATCTTTACACTGAGGAGGTTGGGTGAGATCTTATCTAAGCCTTCTTTCAGCTACAGTCATGACATCAAAGATTTAGGGACGAAACAGATCTTGAAGATCATTTCATCCAAACCCTTATTCATTCAGCAGAAGAGGTAGAGACAGATTACATGGCTTATTCACAGTCACATAAAGATAAAGTAGCAAAGCTGAGATTTGAACCCAAATCCACTGAATCTCTTTTCAGTTCACTACATTGATCCTAAGTCCCAAACAGGAGTTCCAAAAAGCTCTTGAACAATTATGACATTATTGGTATAAGTGTACAGCCTCTCAAAAAAGACTGCTTTGAAAGGGACAAGATTCATTGAAATAGACAAGCTATGGTATGTATGGTCCCCTACCCCCCCCCCAAAACAACAATCACATTACTTTATAGCAAATGTATATTTCAAATAAAATATGCATTCTTCATGGCAAATCAATTCTGTAATCTGCAATGACTCTACGTCTTAGGGATATTTATTTATCACACAAAGTATATGCTAACTACCATTTTTCAGTTATACCCACCAAGCCTTCAGGTATTCTATTAAAGTTATACCTCTGAATTTATGGCCTTCAATTTCCTTTGAATAAATAGCAATTATATCTTGCAACACAGCCTACTGTTTAGTTAAAAGGAAAAAAAGAGAAGCCATTTTGTATGGAAACAGAAATATGAGAGTGATACATGATGGGACCATTATAGCTAACAGTCTGTCAACACTGTCGGTGAAACCTCTAACTTTGGGAATTTACAGCTTAGCAGTAAAAATGTACTCCAGGCTGAAAAGGAATAAATCAGATTGCAATCCAATGGAGATCATCTTAAAAAATATGATGGCTGCTATGGCCACACTGTGAAATTTTCTATCATTTCCATAGCAGAATTTTTTAAAACTTTAAAATGCATGAGAGTTTCAAAATATGAAACAAAAATACTCAAATCCAGAACTAAAATAGATCAGAGACTAAGAATCAACTCTTATAATTATTCTTCGCTCTTTCTATGGTTTTGTCTTTGGAATTTGGGTAAAGTGCCTAATAATATAGCATATAAAGTATATTGAGAATAAATTATAGACTTAAGAAAATAAAAAAAAATCCTTGTTGGAAAAAGGAATGGGGAAGTTACTGAAAAAACTCATTTTGGTTTATGACTCAAATCTTGGAGAATATCAAATATGGTGTCCTCACCAGGGATGGTCTGAGAGGGTGGACAGGAAAGGAAGTCACCACTTGCCCTTCTTGGTTTTGAATCTGAATATTACATACATTAGTGTGTACCATCTTTTCTCCTGATGACTTTTTACTGATCCTCTAAGGTGCTGAGCTACTTGCAAACATGAAAGTGTTTGTGTACACGGGAGGGCATGTTTGTACCTGACAGATTAGTTGGTATTTTTATGGGTGAGTGTATACACACACACACACACACACACACACACACACACACACACTAAGAAAGGGATACATGGGTCACAGGCAAGCAGAAAGATCCCCTGATCAAAAATACCTCATTCCATTCACTGGAGGTGGATTTGTACCAACTAACTACTTTCCTGCACATATGAGGAAGGTGTTGTATATTGATGGTTCACACATTAGTATTAATTATTTTAACTGGATCAATACTGAGCGAGTACTGAGATTAACCTCAGTATATGGGAATTCTAATGGAAGGGAAGGCCTCTAGGTGAATGAATGTCTATCTGAGTACACGAGGCACATGAGGAAAGAAAGACTAGAGGAGGTGTAGGAGCACAGGTACCTGGAAGACAAAGACGTGGAGAGAAACTGGAAGGTCAGAAGAATGTATTTTGCCCATTTTGCAATTTTATACCTTTTGCTCCAACTTTTTAAAGTGGGTATTAGGAATTCTACTTTTACTAGGAACCTCTAGAACAAGGGTGGGGAACCTTTGGCCTTGAGGCCACATATGGCCTTCTAGGTCCTTGGGTGTGGCCTTTTAACTGAGTCCAAGTTATACAAAATAAATCCTTTTATTAAGGGAATTGTTCTGTGAAGTTTGGATCCAGTCAAAGGGCTGTACTTTAAGGACCTAGAGGGCCACATGTGGCCTTGAGGCCACAGGTTTCCCATCCCTGCTCTAGAACCTTCCCCCAAAGAATGCCCCAGGTTTCCTGAAACTTGCTGTCCACAAAAGAAAATGACTGAAAACAAGCTTTCTTCTGGGCCTGAGGTAAAAAACCCCAACACCTTCTTTCAAAATTATGACTGTCCTGTTATGACCAACCATCCACCCTTCATGCTTGAGTCAATGAGAGGTCATTTCTGGATCTGTTTCTTTTACAGACTGTGACTTCATTTTCCTAAAGTCCTTCCTGAGAAGATGATCTCACACAACATGACGTGGATAAAATATCCAAGTAAAGACTTCATTGAAATTGAAGATATAATAAGGTCACAGAATATCATATCAAGATTTATGCACATCTACATTGCACTGTTTGTCCCAACAAGTCTGGTGGCCAGCACATTCAACATGACCACCTTTATAAAGAGGCACACTAGGATGGGAAAACTGGACTTGTACCTCTTGGACTTGACTGTGACGAACCTTCTGGTGACCCTGTTTTCATTCACTGCCATAACTAGACCAGATTACATACTAACCACCAATCTGAGCTGTGGGGTACTCTCTTTTTTCTTCAACATTTGTTACTTCAATGCTCAATACATTCAGATTGCCATGCTCTATGCATTCCTGTTCCAGGATTACTTGCCCTATCTGAGAGTGGTGACACCGATCAAAAAGCCCCTGGGAAACCTGAGCCTTATCTTTGTTTGTGCTTTCAGCAGCTCCTTGGGAGGGGTGATGCTTCTAGGCACAGCTGGCTTGTTACTTAAAAGTACCCTATGTCAGGTGGACCCACTGACAGCCTGGCCCGAATATGAGATTGTCAAATTCAGCTTGGGCTTTGGGGTGACGCTGATTATAGAAGTGGTTTTCTTTACCTTACTCATTGGGAAGCTAGTACAAAGAGTTACTCCTCCACAGAAAGACAACAGGCCCACTTACCTGGTCATGCTGACCATCACCCTGATCATGTTTGCCTGTCGTCTTTTTTACAACATTATGCTACTCAACAGGTTTAGGCTCAAACTTCAGAGGGATAATGGTTCTCCTAGAGATGAGCTCATCATGAACATTGCAGAGCTGGTCCTGTTTGGTGAGAGTTGGGCAAGTAACCTGGTCATTCTTTTTCTTCATGAGCCATGTAAGCGTTCCCTGAAGAAAAGCCTACAAAATCTAACCAAATGGTGCCGGAGGGAAGAAGAGACCCACAACAGCATGCCCCTGGAGAGAGGAATCTAAAATGCGTCTGTAGCAATGCATGGTGGAGGGGGGCAACACTGGAAAGCCATTAGCGGCTCAGCCTTTTGAGAGGAGCACAATACATCTGCTGAAATTCCACATTTGCACTGCAAGATCAAGCAGGCAGGATTTGATGTCTTGGCAGGAGACTGTGGGGATTTTGTTACTACTAGAGTCTAGATCATCCCCAAATATTCCTAAATGCTAAAAAGCGCGTCCATCTAAATAAAAAATCAAAATGGAAGGCAGCCAGCCTTTTTAAGCTCCCTCACAAGTTACCTGAATACATTCACAATGTATTCAATAAATACAAGCCAGAATATATTTAGATAATTAAGCAATATTTCACTTTCCCAGTTTGTTTTAAAATACGCTATTCATTGAAAGACAATATGGAACAACAGAGAGGTAAAGCACATATGACTGTTACAGCAGAAACTGCTTCTCAAGAGTAGCTGAATTAGCCAGAGAAACCTGGCTCATGTCTTACTATAAATAAAATAAGGGTTTTAAAAAAAATACTATAACAAACTGAGGTTAAAAAGTTATCACTCACATATTTAAAAATGGTTTTTATGATGTTGATTCAGGGACAACAATGGGACAATGTTCTGTTTGCTCTAATACACTATAGTGAAAAAAACAAGTCAGTTAGGACTGAGGATACCAAGGTTCTGGTCCCAAGACTCTGAGACTGTGATTTTGTTGAAGTTGCTTTTCAATTTATTTCATATAACAAATGCCCCACCTATTTATCTATCTTACAGGATTACTGTAGAGCTCAAACAAGAGCACAAGTATACAGGTGCTTTGGAAAGGAAAAAGCAGATATACAAATGCCAGGAATATTTATTTTGAGTGGTTCAAGATTAGCCTGGTCTTGGGAAGGTAAATGAATGAAATTAATTACACTGAGTATGGCCTGAACTTTACTGTATTCCTTTACTATTACTAGTTGTAAATCCAAGAATAATTCTTGATGCCAATGGTTTTACATGAGAAATATGCAGCAAAATAATTTCTCTTAAGTTAAAGCATGTGTGCTCACCTGCCAAGTGAGTTTTGTGAGGCAGGAATAAAAAACACATATTTTTGAAAATTCTCTGCTTCATTTATTCCCAAATAGTCATAATGTGCCTATTAGGTGGCAGAAACTGTGCTAGATTTTGTAAAGGACACAAAAGTGAATCAATCACGGTCCCTGGTCTCATGAAATTTTGATTCTACTAGGGAGAATGATGTGTCAATGCAAATTGCTATGAGATACACAATGAAAAATCTCTTCATTTGAGTAGTACAGGTAAAGAGTGATGGAAGAGAAGGCATTTAAGAAGCACTTTGATGAAAGTGTGAGAATTTCACCAGGCAGAGATGGCAACAAAAGGCATTGAAAACTGAAGAATTTTTTTCTTTCTTTTTTATTCAATTTTATTTTCAATTCCAAATTCCCTCTCCTCTTCTTCCCCCTACCCTCACCTATTGAAAAGGCAAGAAAAATTTAAAAACCATTACAAATGTGTGTAGACATGCAAAACAAATTTCTATATTAGCCATGAGGCAGGAGGAAATGGCATGAAAGAAAAAACTGAGATGGGAAAAAATGAGACATTTGTCAAGCAATGAACCATTCAGTTTGTGGAAAACTTAGAGGTCATGCTGATTTACTGCAGGAGTTCATAATCTGGGGTTAGGGAACTTTTTTTTAAAGTATTTTAATAACTGTATTCCAATGTCATTTGTTTCCTTTGTAATCCTACTTTTTTAATTTATGCATTTAAAAATACTATTCTGAGAAGAGGTTCTAAGCTTTATCAGAATGCCAAAGCAGGCTAGGACACAAAAAATGGTTAAGACCTCTTGACATTAAGAGAGACAGTGTGGAAATACTATAGATTTTATGGGAAGTGATGATCTAATGATGCTATAGGAAGATTAAGCTTATGGTAATGTGGTGGGTAATGGAAGATGGTAGACATTAGAGGTTATGAGGGAGGGGAATGCAAAAATAATCATTAGAAGGCTATTCAAATCGTTTTGGCACAAGGCAATACAGGCTGGAATTAGGGTGGGGATAGGAATGGAAAGGCAGGGATACACACACACACACACACACACACACACACACACACACACACATATACATATACATATACAGGCCACATAGAGTGATTGAAAGTTGAGAACTAAGGCAAAGGGAAGAGTCAAAGATCTCTGAGGTTCTGAGCTTGTATCATTAACAGCAACTGAAGAGTCAGGAGAAAGAGCTGGTTAGGGAAAGAAATAAGAGTTCAGTTACAGATGTGTTGGGTCTGAGGTCTCAGAGGCAGAGCAGGTAGGCTGAAACATGAGGCTAGAGCCTAGGACAAGCGAAGGAGGGATCTATGGACTGGAATATAATGCACATGTGGATTAAATTGAAGTGGATAAAATATTCTAAGGATGTATCAAGAGGACTAAGGACAGAAGCTTTCAGAATTCCTCCATTTAGGGGATGGGAAGAAGGAAAGAAACATTGATTTCAATTTCTAATTTTTACAAAATGGGGTTACAGAATCATTTTAAGAGCAAAATATTCAAGAAGATGTAAGATTATGTCATCAGGACCAGACCTGATCCAAGCTAAATGTCATTGTAGGGATGTACACATCCAAAGAAAAACTGTTTGGACTCCAGGGAGGCAAGAAGTCCTAGCACAATCTCAGAAATCCTGAGGGCAATTTAAACATATACTAGGAGAAGAAAGCAGGAGGTCCCGAACCAGATGTACAGTAAAGAGGAGGAGGGGGGAGAAGCAGGAATGACCTAGAACCTCAGGTGAATGTGTACAGTACAAAGGCACCTCCCATCACTACACAGATGAATCATGGAAACCAACGATCTCTATATTCTGCTTATTCTTAGAGCTTTCTGAAATTTAAAAAATAAGAGAAAGCTGTGAATTACTGACTACTTTTAAAAAATATTAGAGGCAGCACAGTCTAGTGTGTCTGAAGAGTTGGTCTCAGAACCAGCACAACCTGGTTTGAAGTCCTGGCTTCTACACATACTGGCTATGTATCCCAAGCCACTTAACATCTCAGTGTTCTATCACACCTATCAGATTTGCCAATACAACAAAACAGGAAAATGATAAATGCTGGAGAAAATGTGGGAAAATTGGAACACTAATGCATTGTTGGTGGAGTTGTGAAGTAATCCAATTTGGATCTATGCCCAAAGGGCTATAAAAATGTGCATACCCTTTGACCCAGCAACAGGGCTGTATCCCAAAGAGATTATAAAAATGGGAAAAAGACCCATGTGTACAAAAATATTTATAGCAGCTCTTTCTGTAGTGGCAAAGAATTGGAAATTGATAGGATGGCCATCAATTGGGAAATGGCTGAACAAGTTGTAGTATACGAATGGAATGGAATATTATTGTGCTATAAGAAATGATGAGCAGGCAGACTTCAGAAAAACCTGGAAAGACTTGCATGGACTGATGCTGAGTGAAGTGAGCAGAACCGGGAGAACATCGTACACAGTAACAGCCACGCTGTGCGATGACTAACTTTGATAGACTTAACCCTTCTCAGCAATGCAAGGATCTAAGACATTTCCAAAAGTTTCATGATGGAAAATGCTATCCGCATCCAGAAAGAACTATAGAGTTTGAATGCAGATCAAAGCATACTATTTGCTATTTGTTTTTCTTCTCTTTTGTTTTGTTCCCTCTTTCTTGTGTTTCTTCCTATTGATTCTAATTGTTCATTACAACATGACTAACGTGAAAATATGTTTAATAGGAATGTATATGTAGAGGCTATATCAGATTGTGCGCCATCTTGGGGAGGGGGAGAAAAATTTAAAACTCAAAAGCATATGGAAGTGATTGCTGAAAACTAAAAATAGATTAATAAAAAACATGCAACAAAAAATCTCAGTGTTCTAAACCAGGGTTATCAAATTCAAATTAGGATCCCTCCAGCCTACATATTGACTTAGAAAACCACACATTAACATTATCTATATGGTACTCTATTTTTATTTATTTTATTAAACATTTCTCAATTACATTTTTTTTTGCTTTTTGGTGAGGCAATAGGGGCTAAGTGACTTGTCCAGGCTCACACAACTATTAAGTGTCAAGTGTCTGAGGCCATATTTGAACTTGGGTCCTCCTCACTCCAAGGCCAGTACTCTAGCCACTGCGCCACCTAGCTGCCCCTCTCAATTACATTTTAATCTGCTTCTAGCCCCACGAGGGAGTTTCGCTACCTGTGAATTTGACATCTCTGTTCTAAGCAGCTCTCTAAGTATATTTCTTGATGGAGGCAGTTTCTCATCTGGGAGTTCCCTATAAAATAAAATCACAAATAATCCAGTTTCTAACCTTATTTTAAAAATCCCAAAACATGTATCTTCAGATTATTATATTCAGATTACTGGTCAATAACAAAAGGATGGTACATTTTATATCAACTGATTGATTTCTCTTAAATATACATTTGACTTTTCTTCCCCAAAAAAATTCCTTTATTCTTACTAGGGAAAATCAGGGCTAAATGTTGAGGTACATAGCACCAACTTATCTGGAACAAAAGAAGCAATAGTCCCACCACATTTTGCCCTGGTTAGATTTTGACAGGAGTATTATGTGACTCTTTTAAAGGAAGACATTAACAAACAGTGAATCCAGGAGGACCACCAAGATGGTGAAAGGGCTAGCTAAAGGAAATAGTTTCTTTAAAACTGAGTAAGAGAAGATAGAGGAAAAGGAATGATATCAGTCTTCAAACAGTTGAAGAGTCCAAGGTCCAGAGCAGAGAATTAGAACCTGGGTATTAGAGAGAAACAGGAAATTTTTCCTTATATTGAGCCAAAATCTATTTCTCCATAATTTCTCTACCTTGGCTCTAGTTCTCTCCTCTGGACCTTTGGACCCTTCAACTGTTTGAAGACCGGTGTCATTCCTTTCCCTCAGTCTTTCCTAACAGAACTCTTCAAAAATGGAACAGATTGCCTGTGGTCTTTAGTAGTGAGTTCCCTATCATCAGAGATGCTCAATCAGAGGCTGGGAATAAACACATTGATAATATTGCTGATCATTTAGCCCCATAGTCCTTTAAAATTTTAGGATCCTGTTATCTGAGCTGAGTTATTTTTAACCGCTTGGTACACTATGAGCATCTGGATAACTCGAAACATCAAGGTAATGACTTAAAGGTGTCCTAATGCCATAAACAGGTCATGCCTGCCTTATGTATCTAGGAGATAGATTGCTACAATTTGAAAAGCCTGGGGAAATATGTCTTACTTCTCCCAACAATCACCAATAAAATGTCTCATCCACAGGATTATGGTTTTAGAAGCAGACATTAGGGGTTAGCTCGTCTGATCCCTCTGTTTTACAGATAAGGAAAATGAAGCCCAGAGTGGCAAAAATGTCTTCCCCAGAGTCATATAAATAGTTAAGTAGCAGAGCCTGGATTCAAACCCAGGTTCTCTAATTCCAAGTCCAATATTCTTTTTTCCTATACCACCCTGCCTCCCTAGTGTCTAAAGTCTAAGTATTATTAGTTCCTTGGGGAGAAAAAACAAAAAACAACACTAAGCAAAGAAATCCCTTTTTCCTAGGCTTCTTTTGACTTTTAGTCATTAACACCTTAGTGGTAATTTCTTTAATTAGACAGCTTTCCTTAAATTGGAACACTAAGGTGATGGATGGGAGAAATGGGGCACCAAGAAGGAAAAAGTTTGAAGAGGAGGTGAGAAGCACCTTTGCTCTTTTGGGTCCTGTTTGGGGCTTCCTCTTCCACCTAAGTGGGAGGAGGCTGGATCTCTTGCTAAGATTTAGCCCCTACAGCTCACCTTTATTACCTGTCAAAATCCAGAGAAAACAGCACATTCCATTTGTTCTCTACACTATTTACTGCTTGATTTGCACTGGAATTTTTCTTTTTGTGATTGAAAATCCACCTTGTGATTACAGCTAAGTATCAAATATGTTATAATAAGAATTGAGACAGGGTGTGAAAATAAAGGAACAAGCTAAGACAACATATCCTAGGAAGAGAAAGAAAGCAAGACTTTCAGATAATAGTTTGATGAATCACA